CCACACTCCGGGGCTTTATGTGTCTGTCTCAAAACAGAAGCCTATAATTCAGTTGTTGTTGTTGGTGGTTGTAGTCTGTCATAAAAGAGAAGCGAAATTTACCACGGGGACAGTCACATTCAAACTCTTAAAAGTCGAAAATAAACTGACAACATGGCTAAAAATTAAGGAAAAAAAGGCCAACAGACAAACAACAGTTCACAAAGCACAACACAGAAAACTATACACTGAGCAACGCGAACCCCATTAAATTTTAAATTAGCGGTTATCTCGTTGCACTGTTTTGGTCTAAGTGCCGAATTGGCCATGTCGTCCCTTTTTGATCATTTCACTCCAAGTCACATCATTTCCTCGATTATTGTCAAAACTGCAACACGTTGGTTTTTTTTTTACTTGGAGTTTAACCCACCACTAGAGTAAGTTTAACTTTTATGTTTGTGCTCATTTTTTATATCGTTGTGCAAATTGTTGAATTATACATTTTATGCACCTTCATTTTTGATTATTGATGTTCATTTACACCCGACATGAGTAAATGCTGCCGCTGTGGGTAAACAGTACTGTTTGTATTTTTTTATGTGTGCATTTTCCCCTTAAACTCCATTCATTATTTGTCAATCCCACATGTTAGGATTTATTTTTAAGATTTATAGATGTAGACAATGGTCACGCTCGAATTTTCTAAAAATACAGTACAGCACAGTCTCAACGTGCGTACACACTTATATCGTGCATGTTATGAAAAGTACAGTCAAGCACAGATGCAACCTATCATTTCTCTTGCCTATGTAGATTATGTGTGTGCAATCTTTTTCTGATATATTCATGTTGTATTTCGAAGGTTTTTCTGAATCATCATGAGTGTTGTGTACAAGAGTTACTTGTATTGAACTGTATAACCATTTTCTTTGTGAATGTACTACTATTTGACATTTATTGTATAAGTGTTGTCTTAATAGTATGCTTATTGGTGTTATTTTGTATTTTCAGTTTTTCACCCTCTCCGGGGGTCTGTATATCAATAAAAAGTTGATCTCTCAACGACTTATCAGTACACTCATGCTCCGGAATGGTAAACAAATCCTGCTCCACAATGCTGTATGGGTTCAACTAGATAAACATTTTTTTAATCTAAAGAATGATATTTTTATTGTATATTTTTCACCAGAATATTCTTCTGGTTGTACAGAAGATATAAATGAAGTTTATTCAAAGTTGCTTAGGAATATTGAGCACTATGGTCAACTCGGAGATATTTTAATTCAAGGTAATTTTTTATGCCTATACTAATACTATTCCTGACTATGTAATCTCTGATGAAGCAAAATTCCCAAAATCAAATGACAATGAGTATTCAATTGACTCTCATAATTTAAGAAATAATCTTGATTCGAAATCTGCAAACAGGAGTGGAAAATTATTAATTGATTTATGTAAAGAATCCGGACTCAGAATACTGAATGGAAGAACTATTGGAGACCCTATGGGCAAATGTACATGTATAACATATAATGGTTCCAGTCTTGTAGACTATACACTTGTGTCTTCTAATATATTAGAATGTATTGGAAACTTTAAAGTTAATGAGTTTACCACAATTTCAGATCATTGTCCCATCAGTTGCTCTTTACTTACTTTCTTTCAAAAATGTAAAAACACAGGGACAAAATTAGATCCTCTGCCTGGTAAATTTATTTGGGATAACAAAGCAATTGGTTGCTATACTACAAACATTCAAAGCTCACAGGTGAAACATAGACTAGATGATTTTGTATGTGATAGGCAGATCGATTCTAATATAGCTGTGGAAAAATTTAACGCATTATTATGTGATACAGCTCTTTCATCCACTAAATTTGTTCAAAAGAAAATCATGAATAGGCCTATCAAGAAAAATTAAAAAAACATGGTTCTCGGACTCTTGTCATGACCTTCATACTACAGTTAAAAAGTACTGTTTTCTTGTAAATAAGTTTCCAGACAATGGGTCCTACAGGAAATCATTTTACTCATTTAAATCTAAATTAAGAAGAAGGTGTAAACAAGAAGAAAGAAGTTACAAAGGTCAAATCTGTGACCGAATTTCACTAAATATGAAAAAAGACCCAAAGACATTTTGGAATTTACTTAACAAATTAAATGCTCTATCAGAATTAAAAGAAGAAACCCATTTTGATCAAGAATTATTTATAAACTACTTTAAAAAAATGAACAGTACTTCTAATATCCAAAACAATAAATTCCATGACATAATTATTGAAAAGTTGAATGCCTTAAAAAAGACACTAAATACATGCAATTCTGATAACGAATTTAATCAACCAATTCAGCCAGTTGAAATCTTAAAGGCAGTTAAGACACACAAAAATGGTAAATCATCAGCATGAGACTTAATTTCTAATGAAATGATTAAATGTGGTATGCCAGTATTATTAGAACCCCTATAAAAACTTTTCAACCTAGTATTTATGAAAGGCAGCTTCCCAAAATTATGGAACAAAAGTCTGATCACGTTAATTCATAAAAAGGGGAACAAATCTGACCCATCTGATTATAGAGGTATCTCATTGACTTATAATTTGGGAAAATTATTCAATAAAATTATACACACCAGACTTATGAAGTTCATTAACACCAATAATTTGATAAGTGAAAATCAAATTGGCTTCAAAGAAAAAGCTAGAACAGCAGATCACATCTTCTCATTAAAGTCAATTGTTGATAAATATAAGACCAAAAAAAAAGAAAGTTTTTGCAGCATTTATAGATCTACGAAAAGCCTTTCATACTGTCTGGAGGGAGGGTTTATTTTACATCCTACTCCAAAACAGACTTCCAGGCAAGCTTTTTAATGTCATTTAATCAATGTATAATGAAAACAAATGCAGAATTAAATTTCAAAATGGTATTAGCCATGAATTTATATAAAATTGCGGAGTAAAACAAGGGGATGTACTTAGCCCAACTTTGTTTAATATTTATATAGATGGCCTTGTAAATGACCTTGATCATGCAAACACTCAACCAATTGTTATAGGAGATGTTAAACTAACATCATTATTATATGCAGATGATATTATTCTAATGTCAGAAACCCAAGAAGGACTACAAAATGCACTTAATGAGTTAACTAAATTTTGTTCCCTGTGGAAACTTGATGTAAACAAACAAAAATCAAAAATTATAATTTTCAATTCTAATGGGAAATCCCATTGTAATTATTTTAAAGTAGAAAACGAGCATCTTGAGACTGTTAAATCTTATTGTTACCTTGGAATAACAATAAATTATTCAGGCAATTTAAGTCATTCAAAAAAAATTCTTATGGAAAAAGGAAGAAAGGCTTGGTTTAAAATAAAAAAAAACAGTTTCTTTAGATAACTCTTGCAATATGCTTGAAAAATTATTTGATACTTTAGTTGTCCCAATCACTCTTTATGGAAGTGAAGTATGGGGTGAAAGCGAAGTGTTCAAAGATTCAGATCCATTTGAACATTTACATATAAAATTTATTAAAGAAATTTTAGGGGTACAGTGCAAAACAACAAATGTAGCTTGTCTAGCTGAGACAAACAGAACCCCTTTGTACTTAAAAATTCAGCTTTCAGCTATAAAATTTCTAAACCACATTGTGAACTCACCTAATTCTTTAGTCTATAAAATATTTAATAATGTAGAGAAAACAAGTAAATGGGTTAACATTGTAAAAGACTGGTTAAATAAATTAGGTTTTGGCCATCTTACTTTTGATACTATTAATTTAAAATATTACATAAATACTATCCAACAAAGAATCAAATTATGAATTGTTCTATCCATAAATGTGAAAAATTAAATTTCTTTTGTAAGACTAAAAAAATTGGAAAAAGGCCCCCGTATATTGATATATGTAAATTCAAAACTGACAGATCAGTTTTCAGTAAACTTAAACTCAGTGCCCATTCCCTAGCAATTGAAAGGGGGCGTTATACCAACACCGAAAGAAGTAAACGCATTTGCTTATCCTGTAATAGACAAGAAATTGAGGATGAATACCATTTCTTCTCAGTCTGTCCATGCTTTATATCACTGAGGGACACCTATATACAAAATATTAATAAAAATCTTAATTTCAATTTTATTAAATTGCAGTCAACTATAACACTGAGGCATATGACCGCACTTTTAAATAGCAGTCTGCCAGTCATTATAAAACTCACCATAAAGTATATTAATGATTGTTTTTATTGAGAACATCTGTATAAATTATATTTCTTTTAATATGTATCCTAATTTTTGTTTTTGTTTTTTTGTACATGGACATTAATGATGTGTTAACTGTCGATACACACATATTTATGGTCTTTTTTCCCCTGGGAATACCACTGTCACTCTTATATAATTATAGTCAATTTAACTATTGTCAGTTTATTGTCTCAATACTGTATGCCATAACCATTTAATGTAAATGTGTTTGTGCTAATAAATATTGTCTATTGTCTATGTTGCATAATTGTTTTTTCGTTTATTGTTTACGAATACCTCAGACCATCGATATTATTGTTTGAATTGTGTCTGCATATTGGCATAACGGGGCCTTTACTAGCTTACAGTACAGGAAATGGCTTGCTCATTGTTTGGGGATGTATGGCGACCAATACTTTACTTACATCCTCTAATGGAGGGTTGTCAATCATAAAATAAAGAAAATAATTTGTCACAATAATATCAATAGAAGGTAATAGTCATAATCAGGGACGGATCGAGGGTCCAAGGAATGGGGTAAGGAAAAAAACGCTGAACATAGTTAGGGGAGTTTTTAACGATTTAAGAGAAAAAAACTATATTTTCTACCCGCGCTGTCTACCCCCTTCCCCCTTTTTTTGGATGCACATCTGATAATGTTTGTATAAACAATAATATGAACAGTGCATTAATTTAAATAAAATTATCTTATGTTATCTTAACTTATTGAAAACATTATCTTAACCGTGATTAGACGGTTCCACATTGACAGTCATGGTTTTAAACAGATCCCTTCTGTCAAAGTTTTAATTTTTATTTTTGACATAAACACATGAGTAAACTATTTAAATTTTAGCGCACATTAAGTCAATTTACCTTTGGAATGTTTAAATTTTTTAGATTGTCTCCCTTTAATCAAATAGGAAGTATTAAAAACGAAAGTAATTGGTTTAAAACATTAAATCAAATCGACACGGTAAGTTACCTCATCAAACAGGAAAGAATTACTTATGAACCCCACCTATTGAAGGAATAAGCCTAGACATACATCATATACGAAGGGGTGGAAAGGAAATTTTGCCGTTTATTTGATGTTGTTTATGATCTGTATTTGTCACAATTATAATTATGTATGCTTAAATATGACAATAAAGGTACTAGTGGAAACTATAAAGACGACATTCCAAATGAATTTCAGATTTAAAATGCTAGAGCTTCATAACTACAAATAACCCCAGAGAGAAGTCCTGATTAAGTGACCGCACTTAAAGACGGATCAAGGCCCTAGCCCCATTGTAGAGCTTCATATATGATTAATTCAAATAGATATATTAAGAAGATGTGGTATGAGAGCCAATGAGACAACTCTCCATCCAAGTCAAAATTTATAAAAGTAAACCATTATAAGACTTTTTACATGTCTCACTCTAAACGTTACCTAGTTTGTCCCTTGTTCATAATCCTAGGATCTGCATGTGTCTTTTGCATGTATATGTATATAATATACTGAAGTTCAAAGTTATTCCATGGGTACAAATGTGGTCACGTTGACAACTGACTGTAATCTATCAGAATCAATCTCAGTGTCTGGCTAATTTCCGTCTTAGAATTTTTTTATGAACACACTTTTATATTGATCTCTGCACCAACAACAATTGTTATAGAATTGTTTAGATTAATTACTACGAATTTGCAATGCATGGTCAGGTCTTCTAGCTAACTGGTGAAATTCAGAGTCTGCATGGTTGATTATCAAAAAGGAGGAAAATTAGTCTTTACATATATATACCTGAACTTTCTCAATTCAAGTTAATGGATTATTGCAAGAATTGTTTACGGTTAAGGTAATAATAATTTGTGGAATGCAACATACATGACAGATTTTGATGCCTGACACCAACTTGCAATTCCTCAGGAATCCACCACGATAATCTAGTCCTATAACATATGACTTCACATTTTTTATTCAATATTTAACGTTTATATACTGATATTTCCATTTGTTAAAATTTACATTGATAGTTAAAAAAAAAACACAAAAAATATTGCCCACGAGGTCATATGTTATAGGACTACATGGTTCTCGATTCTGAGACAATAAACAAAGACTTGTAATTTCAAGGTGTTTATAGTGTATGTGTTTAATCTAATATATGATACCATGTTCCTTTTAACTATATCAAGTAGTAAATCATTGTATTCCATATTTCATATTTCATATTCATGATACTGGTAAATGGTAAACGTGTTTAAACATAATTGATAATGGCTTTACCGGTGATATTTGACATGTGACAATTGATCTCATCTTGTATTAGTTAAAAATATTGGAACACCTGCATGCATGTGTATTGCTTATTATACGATAAATGCCTTTTTAACACATTCGCGCTTTGATTTTTTTGTCATGGTAAGGTCTGCTTTTCTTCGGCTTGTAGTTTTTGATAGCACCTTAAAAATTGTATCTTCTTTCAACTTTTAGGCAAAGTATTCTTAAACGACCCATCTTTAAAGAAAAACAAAACGTCGTTAATATTGTATTGATGTATCATGTTTATTGAACTTTTTTACACAGGTTGTGTTGTATTACACATTTCACGAGGAAACACAATAATAAGATGTAAATCACAAGCATGTGCATACTTATTAAGATGAAATATAAAACTATTGTGCTGTTTCAGAAATTTCACGACTGTACCAAAATACTTGTGTACGTTTTTTATGCCCCCGCCGTAGCGGAGGGGGCATTAAGTTTTACCCTTGTCCGTCTGTACGTCCGCCCGTCCGTCCGTCCTTCCGTCCGTACGTCCCAAAGTTGGTTTCCGTTCTCTTAACTTTAGTTTGCCTCAACCAAATGTTATGAAACTTATATTACCACTAAATACAGATCAAGTTTGAATTTTGGTGGCGTCACTTTTACCGTTCTAGAGTTATGCTCCTTTACAAATGGAAAAATTGCTAAATTTTTCGTTTCCGTTCTCTAACTTAAGTTTGCCTCAACCAAATGTTATGAAACTTATACACAATGCTTATTACCACAATATACAGATCAAGTTTGAATTTTGGTGCCGTCACTTTACTGTTCTAGACAAATGGAAAAATTGCTAATTTTTTCTTTTTTTTTTTCTAAATATCAAGTCATTTTCAAAATTGGAGTTATCTTCCTTTGTCCATGATTATAGTTGAATCAACTACAATCAATGCTTTATACAATGCAATGTTTAATTTTGCCTTCCACTGATAAATTAAAGCAATTTTTACCCTTCATTTCTAAAAATATTTTAAAGTCTTCTTTGAAAATTGGAGTTATCTTTCTTTGTGCATAATGGTAGTTGAATCAACTACAACCAATGCTTTATACAATGCAATATTCAATTTTACTTCCTACTGATAAATTAAAGCAATCTTTACCATTCAGTGCTTACAAGCACTTTAATTACCGTTCTAAGGTAATGCCCCTTTACAAATGAAAAAATTGCTGAATTTTTCGTTTCCGTTCTCTAACTTGAGTTTGTCTTAACTAAATGTAATTTCTAAAAATATCAATGTCATTATTCAAGTAATTTTTAAAATTGGAGTTATCTTCCATTGTCCATGATTATAGTTGAATCAACTACAATCAATGCTATATACAATGCAATGTTTAATTTTGCCTTCCACTGATAAAACACAGATCAAGTTGAATTTGAGTAGTGTCACTTTAACCATTATTGAGTTATGCCCCTTAATAAATCGAAAGATTGCAAAATTTTTAGTTTCCATTCTGTAACTTAAGTTTGCCCCAACCAAACATTATGAAACCTATACACAATATTCATTACCGCAAAACTAAGATAATGTACAATTTTTTTGTTTCCGTTCTCTAACTTTAGTTTGCCTCAACCAAATGTTATGAAACTTATACACAATGATTATATTTTATTAATACATAATACAGATTAAGTACGAAATTTGGTGGCGTCACTTTTACCATTCTTGAGTTATGTCCCTTTATAAACATAAAAATTGCTGAATTTTTCGTTTCCGTTCTCTAACTTTAGTTTGTCTCAACCAAATGTTATAAAACTTATACACAACAGTTCTGGAGTTATGCGTGTTTACAAATAGAAAAATTGCTGAATTTTTAGTTTCTGTTCTCTACTTAAGTTAGCCTCAACCAAATATTTCTCATGCAAAAATCCTTCTCAATGTTAATTGTATGTCTGTCCTTAACTTTTAAGATAACTTTATATTTCCGTCATTTTTAGCTATTCCGGATTCTTTTTTCTCGTAAGCTGATTTGGTATAATCCATCTGAACTTTGCTCATCATTTAGTGTCCGTCGTCTGCCGTCGTTCGTAAACTTTTACAAAAATAATCTTCTCTGAAACTACAGAGCAAATTGGAACCAAAGAAGATTGCAATCATTCTTAAGGTAATTAGTTGAAAAAGTGTGTCGGATGATCCAGTCTTCCAACCAACATTGCTGCCAATGCTTAACATAGAACTTGAGGGTAAAACGAAAGTATTATGCAGTCATGATCGTTAAAACCGTAATGTATAGAGAAAATCTAACGGGCATAAATGTTCAAAATAACAAGATCTACCTACCGTCTATTTCGACCAAACTTGTCGAACAACTAGGCATACGAGTTGTTATCCTTAAATTATAATAATTACCAATGTTGCAATTTTGGCTAATATCGTTAAAACTGTAATAGATAAAAAAAAACAAAAAAAAACTGTAAATTACAAAAATGATGAAAGACGAATTTTAACCCTTGTTTATGTTTTTTTTTCGGAAACCATAGTAGTTAGACAGAAACTGTAAACAGCAAAAATGACCAGCAGCACGGTACAAGATCTACAAATAAATCAACTTGGACGATAACGTCAGACTCTCTTTTGTATGAATATTTGCCCTTGAATGACATGTTTTACTAATTTGTTGCTTTCTTGCTAGTAGTTATCAGAAATTCGTATTGAATTGTATCAATTATGATGAAAAATGCCAGATTAGTTTGTTGACTTATTTTTCGAACCCTTTTCCCTTCCTCGTTCTTGATGTCAACGTATTTGTATACCAATATGCCATATTTTTACTCCGGACATACATGTTTACTTTCAACGCGCCACTTGAATAGTTAACACGTACATTTACAGTATAAATATGAATATATGGTAAAAATAATTGACATAACTAGTTAATTATTCAAGCTATACTTAAAATTAAGGATAAGGTGCTCAAAGTGGGATATATGATATTATTTTCTAAGCTTTTTTTTACATTATTTGCCATTTGTCGTGCTTTTTCCAAATAGAAAATGAAAAAAATATGTGTCACCGTGCTGGATTCGAAGATAAATCGCGATCAATCTAAAAAATTGCGTCCCCCCTTTGTAACCTCAGCGTTAGCGCGAAAATGCACGACGTCGCAGGTGTATATATATATTGATTATAAAGGGCTACCTTAAAATAATAATATTGTTTTCGGAAATAAAAATATGTGTATTATTTTGCCTATTACTTATTTACTTCAGAAAGTAGATCGGATTGATTGAAGTATTATGCTAAGACTTAACGGTTGTACCTTGAAATACCTTTACTGCACGTGCAAATAATGCTAGATGAAAAACGGTGATTTTCGTTGGTATTTTTTTAAAATGTTCAGCTAATCTGTGGTGGGGGAAATTTATGATTTCAAATTTAAATCGTCTCGTTTGGTACTGAGATGAAAGCTTGTGTCTAATTCGAGGTATAAATCTAAAAATGAGTCGGAGGAAGTCGTGTCTGTTGTTTCTTTAATTTCTAGTTCTTGGGTATATATTAATGGAACACAACCAGAAAAGTTTGGATTGTTAATGTAAAGAACATCATCAATATATCTGAATGTGAAATTAAATTATCTGGCTTCTCAGTTTGATCTTCTTGTTTTTTGAGATGTATCTGAAGGAACTCAGAAAATTAGAAGAGGTCGGCCAGGAGAGACGCACAGTT